TTGTTTGATATTTTGTTCTTGAGTTCTAGCAGTTCTTTGTATATTCTAGATATTAACTTCTTATCATATACACAATTTGCAAATATTTTCTCCCATTCTGCAGGTTATCTTTTCACTCTGCTGATTACGTCCTTTAATGCACAATTTTTTAAAAGTTTGAGGTAGTCCCATTTGTCCTTTTTGTTTTTGATACCTGTGCTTTTGCATTATATCCAAGAAATCATTGCCATGTCCAATGTCATGAATCTTTTCCCCTACGTTTTCTTCTCGGAGTTCTGGGTCTCACATTCAGGTCTTTAGCCCTCCATGCCTTTTTAAAGTTATTTCTGTCAATAGATGATAGGTGAGATAGAGATATATAGATACCTCCAGAGAAAAGCATTTTACATAATGCTATCATATGTATTTTTATGGATATTGTTTTGTTTTACCTAATACATATCATTCTGCTGCTGGCTTTATTCTGTGGGTCTTTTTCATTATTTTAAATTGTTGCTTAGTATTCTATGGTAATCATATGCTATACTTTATTTAGCCTTTTCCCTATTTTACTAGCACTTGTGTAGCTGGATGTTAAAGGAACATTCCCTATTTTGAGGAAATTTCAACATAAACCTCAAAGCTGAGGATAGTAGGGACAAGGAAGAGAGCTTGGAAGAGAGCTGCTAGACATGCCCCTTTGGGTTTTATCATAGAGAGCAAAACGAGTCCCATGGCTATCAGTCCCTGTCACCCACATGTGACCTGTAGGAGGGAGGGCTTGGGTTCCTTGAAAAAGATGCTTCAAAAAGAATGCATTCAACAAATATTTGTTCAGTGCCCTCTCATCTATCTGCTTAGTGCTGTGACACATTGGTTAATGTCACACAGCTCCTGTCCTCACGAAGCTTTCAGCATGAGGCTGGAAGATGCATTGGCTTTTCTTGGTTCCTCTCTCAGAGCCCAGGGGGGCTAGGGTACACCTGAAATCCTAGGGCTGTACCTGCCACTCCACTAGCCAGAGACTTTCTACAGCTGCATATTCTTGGGTGAGACGAGGGATGTCCAGGCAGAGGCTGGGGCTGTTGGTACCAGGCAGGATGAGAGGGCTGCCTTGCTCAGGGTTGCCTGGAGGCTCTGCAGAGGGAACGAACGGACTTAAGTTGTCTTGAAGGGACCCAGGCAAACCCAGCCAAGAGAAATACCCACCTAGGTATGGAGACAATTGCAGACAGAGGCAATGGATGCGGGAGTGGGATGGGGGGCGGGTGGCTGGGAAAGAGAAGGGTCCACAGCACTAGGGCAGGGGAGAGCATAGGCCATCAGGCAAAATGGCCATTGGGAGGGCCCCGTGGGGAGTTGGCAAAGAAGCTCCCCGGGACTCACCGGCTCATCTGTGAAATGGGATAACAGTACCTCTTCATGGGGTTGCTCTGAGGGTTCAAATACTGGATGTTGACAGGCACACAGCCTCAGGGCAGTGCTTGTCAGTCAGCAAGACCCGCCTCCGTGCCGCAGCGCGCTGTCTTTGGCGCCCTCTGCTGGGGAAGATTCGAACCGCTACCTCTTCTGTCCTTGGTCAGCAGGGGTCTGTCACCACAGGGTCCTTGGTCACAGGAGGCCTCCCAGGCTGGACCCCTTGGCGGCTGCTCTCCAACAGCCCAGCCCTGTTGGTTCCCTCCCGACACTCGGGGCAGTGCCATGACCAAATGCTTCTCAGCTCCGTTGGGCAGGTGCCACGTCAGGCCCAGGGGACACATGGTGCCAACCTCTAGAGGGGCAGCTCACCCTGCAGAGTGACCTCCTTACCCTCCCTTCTCAGGGCAGCTCTCTAACCGTCATCTCCTGCCTTTAGACTTTATAGGCCCAACTCGGACACCGTCCTCCTCCCCCTCAGCTTCCAAGAGATTCAAGTCAAGCTTTCCAGGTGTGCCCCAATTAGCTCTGGGCAGGCAGAGCATCTCCCCTTCTCTCATCCATGGGGATCAGGGAAAACTACAGCCCACCAACCCCCTCTCCTTCTCTCTTTCACCCTCTTTCCCTTTCCTTTCTCTGCAATCTCAACACCCTAATTATTTCCTCTACTTCTTTTAGAACTAGTTGTACAGTTTCTCAACATGACCTCCGGGGAAAGGTTAGGAAGGGGAAGTTCTTGGCACATGATCCTGACTGTTCCCTGCCTTTGACCTTGTGCTGAAATGCCAATGAGCATCCAACCAATGGAAGGAAGTTCTACATTTAACATTTTATATGGGAAACGTATAAAAACATGCATGAGAAAAACCAGCTGTAAATCCTGGAGAGGGGAGCAGAGAAAGTTTAGGAAAAGATTCTCAGGTTGTTTTAATTGTTTCTGTAATGTTTGAGTTCTTGAGCGGAGTGGTGGGTACCTAAGTGTTATATTATCATCTATAGCTTTTTAGATGTCTGAAGATAGTTTATGTTAATATTATAAACAGTGCATCTTTTTTTCTTTTTTTTTTCTTTTGAGACAGAGTCTTGCTTTGTTGCCCAGGCTAGAGTGAGTGCCCTGGCATCAGCCTAAGCTCACAGCAACCTCAAACTCCTGGGCTCAAGCAATCCTGCTGCCTCAGCCTCCCGAGTAGCTGGGACTACAGGCATGCACAACCATGCCCGGCAAATTTTTTCTATATATGTTACTTGACCAATTAATTTCTTTCTATTTATAGTAAAGGCGGGTTCTCCCTTGCTCAGACTGGTTTTGAACTCCTGACCTCCAGCAATCCGCCCGCCTTGGCCTCCAAGAATGCTAGGATTACAGGTGTAGGCCACCGCTCCAGGACAACATAGCATCTTTCAAGCGAATCTATAAACTGAGAAAGAGGACAGCAGTGAAAGTGAATGGCAGTTGGTCAAGACAGTGAATGGAAAATTCAGCTCTATAATAACTAGATTTTCCTCTTAACTGGGGAAGAGACGAGGAAAATATCTGCAGTTTCAGTTTTCTGGAAAAACAAAACCTATCTCATTTGCTGCCTGCATCACCTGGGCTGGGCTTGGGCTGGGCTTGGGCTGGGCTGGACCTGCTTAAGGAATCTGGAGTCAGAGCCCCAGGACACAACTAAGCTCAGTTGTGTGTTCTTGCGAATTCAGGAGAGGGAGTGGGCAGTTGCAAAATCAAGGCTTTGAGTAGACAAGGGGGGATTAAATCTTTAGGATCTGGGATAGTTCATCCACAGCTATGGAGGGAGGGCGGAGTGTATGGGTACAGTTGCTGGAGGTTGGATTTGATGTTGGGAAGCGATTTATTTTCTGATTGGTTCTAACTTCTTAATGAAATAAGAAATCTTCTGTGGGTAGCTGAGAGGAGATGGTCATAGACACTTTGGAAAAGAGAAATAGAATTTATTATGGAAATTTCATAGCATTGTTGGGTAAAAATCAAGTCCACATGCTGGCCTGTGTCATGCCTCCAGAAGTGTTTCAGCCCCAGCAACAGGATGACCCCCACCCAAACTGTGGAGGGATGTGGAGACTGTTGAGGCCACATACATACAGTCATTATGCTATTTAGCAAATTCTCTGGTGCTGATGTTGCAGCTGCATTGGGGTGAGGGGGGGATTTCTGAACAGGGGTGCAGATTGCCATTGGTGCAGGGTAAACTCACTAAAAAACCCTGTTGATGTCACACTACTGTCAACATAAACAAACAGGGAGAGACGAATGTCTAAGTAAAAAGGTTTTATTTGGGAATAATATACAAGAAGTAAGACCGCAATCCAGTACAGAGCACGGTGGCCTCCAGTGTGTCTGAAGATCAAAGGAAAAGATTAGGGTCTTTTAAGGGAAAGAGGAATGCACATTGTTTTGAAAGAAAGTTCACTGGCACTGGCAGCATCTTGCAAGAGCTGGTGAGTTGTGATTGGTGAGTGTCAGTAGTTGTTAGGTAGGATTTGTAGTTTGGAGTTACAATTAGGGCCTTGCAGTCTTGGATTGGGTTTGTGAGACAATGTGTCAGGCAGGTATTATTGTGCAGCTAACTGTCCTCATGTGACTCATGTAATAAGCTGCGGTTTGGAAGAATTCGCTGTGATATTTCCAGGTCACCAGGCAAATCACGCATGAGAGGCTTTCCTTCCTGCCCTTCCCCAGTGCCATCTGCCAGGGTTTGACACAACTGACTCCATTTTGAATCTTACAATTTTCTTAGCGCTCATGTGGAATCCTTACATGTAAATTTCAGAAATCCTGGTGCTTTCTCTTCCATCTGTTCTCAAGGCAGTGGCAGAGTGAAGGTGACTATGTCACCTCTCTGCCTCAGGCCCTGCGGTGCTCCTGGCCTCACTCAGGGCATGAGACCAAATCCTTGCACTGGTGGTGAGGCCTCACATGGCCTGACCCCCGCTACCCTGTGACCTCAGCCCTTGCCTGTCTCCCTTGCTCACCAGCTCTGGCCACCCTGGAGCCCTTGATGTTCCTCACACCTGGGCCCTCTGCCATCATTTCCACCTGGAATGACTTTCCCCACGATGCTGCCTGGCCTGCTCCTCTAGGCTCATCAGATAACATTCGATGTATCTGGTTTCTTATCTTGTTTAATTTGCCCTCACTGGCTTGTAACCTCCCTCAGGACAAGCATTTCAGTCTGTCCTGTCCCTAGTCAGTGTCTAGCAAGGGGGGCCTGTGGCAGAGACTTTTTGAACAACTGAACATCTGGTCACTTTGAGGACTAAGATTATTCTGGAAATCACCTTCTTGACTTCATTGGAAACTAATATTTATGCTTTTATTATAAAACTTCGGACATATTTCTCATGAACTTTATTACGCACAGTGCAGTGCACCCTCCTGTCCCTAAATTAAATGACAAAGAATAATGTATAAACAGGCACTGATTGATATAGTGACCAAAGCGCATTTCTTTTTATGAAAAAATTTTTATTTTTAATTATTATGGATACATAGTATTTGAACATATGTATGGGGTATATGTGATATTTTGATACAAGAATACAATATCTAATGATCAAATCAGGGTAACGGTGTCTATAATATCCAGATTTTCTCCTTGATTGGAAAGAGGAAAAAGATGTCCACTGTTTTGCTTCCCTGGAAATTGAAACTTTCCTCATATGCACCTGCATCCTCTGAGACTTCGGAGGAAGATGTCCATTGATTTGGTTTCCTGGAATTTGAATCTTTTCTCATTTGCTGCCTGCATTGTCTGAGACCTTGCTCCTGTGGGGGCGGAGCTGATAAAAACACCTAGAAACAGGCCTTTCAGGAGCCATATAAGCTCAAGACCTTGGGGTCAGTTCTACCTTCTCTGGAACTCTCCTTCTCTGGGTAAGACTTAGGGTGCCGGTAGGGGCTGCCCCTCTGCTGCCCCCACCTTGGGTGGGGAGGGGGTTCGGGCAGTGGGAGGGAGGCCGGCACATCCACTCTCTCACTGGGCTCTTTGTTCTCAGGGTGACTGTGATCCTAGCAGGTGAGTCCAGGAGGGAAAGGGACTGGACCCCCACCTGCCCTTGGAATCAGGACCTTGGAGATGGTGATCCTCCTCCATGCCCGGGTCTCCCTCAGGCTTGAGGGTGGTTGGGGGTGAAGCAGGCAGGGGAAGAGGGGTCTGGGGCAGCGCCAGCCCATGCCTTGGAGGCAGCTGCACCGTGTGGGGTCTCGCTTTGCTGAGAGACGCCTTCTGACCTCCAGCAAGTCTCTTATCCTCCCTGAGCCCGACCACGTTTCCTCATCTGTAAAACGGGCGTAGGCTCGCACCTTCCTCCTGTTAGTGGCATAACATATGTAAGAGCCGGCACCTCACAGAGGAATATGCCTTAAGAATGTACTTGGTCCAATGTCCTAATGTTCTTGCCTTTGAAATTGCTCCCTGTAGACCTAAGGGGGTCCCAGCAGTGTGTAAGGAGTTGGCGCTGGGGGTTCAGGAGGAAGGAAGCAGCCTACCTGGGAAAGAAAATCCCCCAGAGCCCTTCCCAGTGCAGGTCCCTTGGTAACCCCGACACCCTAACATCCTCCTTCCCTCACCCCAGGGCGTCGGCAGTGTCCCAGCTGGCCTTTCGTCATGGGTGAGTGTTCCTGGGAGAGACTGGCACTGGGGGCGAGGAGGCACGTGGGTGAGCACAGGGTCCTGCCTAGGGACCTGTGAGTGGGGGTTGGGGGCTGCCTCACTGCACCCCCATCCAGCTGTCCTGCGTGGCTCTCCCTCTGAGAAGTCTCAGCCCTGGTCACCCTGCAGGTCCCCTCCCATCTAGGCCTGGCCTCCTTCTGCCTAGACTGAGGGGTCTGCAGCTCAGTTCCGCTCCCTTTGGCTCTTACTTCCCCTGGATTCCCCCCAGAATTGGCCTCCTGTAGGCTTTCACCATGTTGACGGGACCCCTCTGTCCTGCTGCATCTCAGATCCAGAGCACTGAGGTCTGAATTCTGACCCTTTTATTTTTCTCTTGCCCAAATTGCTTTCTAGGAGGTTTGGTGAGTCACACCTACAAACCCTATAAGCGATCAAATCTCATTAAAGGGGATTTATTAACCTGGTATGACGTGGCTTACTTTCCAACCTGAATCTGGCAGAGCATCACGTGACAGAGACCCCCTTGTCTTAAGTGGGGCGTTCCCTTCTGCTGCCTCCAGGGCTTTAGACAGAGCTTACCTCTTTCAACCAGTTGCCAACTAGAAAAATTCCTAAATGCCCCCTGTGACTTGTAACCCCTACTTTGAGATGGCCTACCTTTCTGGGCAGACAGATGTAAACCCTCTACGTACCGACAGGCAGCCAACTGGGTCGGGACATGCAGATCCATTTGGGACAAGCCATCTGTCTAGCAGTCCGCACCTTCTCCAGAAGTCCAGCTTCTCTGAGTGAAGCAGGGAGAGCCAGGCAGGGTCATTCCTTCCTCCAAGCCCAACCTGGACAACCCCCTCCCGATCAGTGGGAGTTGGCTCAGAGAGTGGAGGGGAGGCCAGTGTGGCGTCACTCACGGAATGTTCTTTTGGTTTCCAGGCGAAATTGCAACTATGATTAAAAATGGTGAGTCTCTGCAGGGATGGGGCCAAGTCCTCACCTGCCCATGGGAAGGTGGACCAGGTGAGGGTCAGGGGGCAGCCGGCCTTGAGCAGGCTCAGGTGTCCCGGAGCCGCATGCAGGTAGTCGTGGGAGGAGCTGGTATGAGGGAGATGAGCAGGAAACAAGGAATAGAAATAAGGAGCTGGAAACTCGAAACAGGGAGCTTGCAGACAGGGACCTGCAGTGTGGAAAGCCAGGCGTGCTGGCCATCTTGCCTTTTCTGACCTTTCACTGCGTGACCTTGTCTTTACACTCCTCTGAGCCTCTGTTTCCTCTGCTGAAGAAAGGACCACTGGATCACGAAGGTGACATGGGTTGAGACAGCAGAGTGTGAACACAGCAGATGCATTAGAGGGAAGCTGTGGGCTCAGGTCCCCTGGGTCTAGTGGCTTCCCATGTGCTATGTGGCAACAGCACGGTGTGTTCCTTGCTTAGCTCTCTCCTGGGCAAGATTTGCTCCCATAAAAAGATTTGCTCCCAAGTAAAGATGAGAAGCTGGTGAAGCACCCCGTTGCTCCAGGGTCTGATGGAGGGAGACACTGAGGCAGCTTCTCTCTCCGCTCCCTCGCCCGGCTCTACCCCTGGACCGTGCCTCCTGGCCATGCCCATGGTGTTCCTGCACTCAGGGCTCACGTCTTCTGAGGCCCTCAGAGGTCCCCCAAGCTTGACCCAGATGTGGGTTCCTTCCCCTGAGCCCACCCTCAACCCAGCTCCTCTTCCTCGCAGCTGTGTTCTCCACCGCTATGACCGTATTGGTCCAGGCCATCGTCTTCCCTGGGGCAGGAATGGCTGCAGGCTTAATGACCAGGATGACGTCCGCAGCGGCCAAAACTGTCACCAGAGTTGCTGTCGGCAGCCTGAGGGTTGCTCTGCGGTCACTGAGTAAGTGTCTGGGCAGGGCTAGCTGGGGAGGGCAAGGAGGAGGACAAGAGCCTCCAAGCACCCAGCCCCGGTCTCAGCCCTGCCATCCCAGCCCTGTTCCTTTGTCTCACCTCCACATTGTCTCTCTGGGCTACTCTGAGGGAGGCAGGAGCCCTGGCCTGGGGCAGGTCGGGGTCAGGACAATCCTGTCTGAAGCAGAGTTGCCAGGTTCCTTGGGGGCATCTCCGTACCTTGGGGGTTCAACAGAGAACCAACCACCCGGGTTCACGACACTGGGCTGCCGCTGCAGCAACCCTTTCCAAAGGAGACATCCTGAGGGTTCTGGGAAGAGGGGTGGTGATGCCAGGTGGGGTCTCTAGGCCTCTGGCCCCCCTGAGAGGCCCTGGAGTCTCTGACTCCACAGTTCTGTCTCCCGGAGCTTCCTGGCCTGCTTGTCCCTCTCACCTGCCGCCTCTTCCCCAGGACTGGCCTGACTCTTCCCGTCACGCACACTCATGCTGGTCTCCCTGAGTCTGCCTTTGTGACCTGCGTGGTGGCCTCTGCAAAGCCCCCTGCCCCTGCGGAGAAGAGGACCACGCTATGGCAGAGGGTGTGGCCAGCCAGCCGACTCAGCCAGGGACCCGTCTGGGGGCACAATGAACCCAATGCTGCACCCCCAGAGGAAAATAAAAAATAAAATTGAATTGTTGAACTCCTCCCTGCGTGTCAGGCTCAGTTCTCTTTCCTGACCATGGCGTCACAGACAGCTGTGCGTGGCGGCTCCAGTGAATCTAAACTGGGAGGCAGAAGCCGTCTCTGCTCCGCTGCTCACTTTGTGTGAACCCTGGGCAGGTCCCCTTCTCTCTGGGCCTCTGTTTGGCCCTCAAAATGGGGAGTGGAACTAAATGACCCTCAGGACCCCAGCCAGGGTGGGTGTTTGGCTCTGTCCTTCTGAGGAGGTGGGATGGGGCAGGGGAGGGCGTCCTGTATGGAGCCACTTACCCCAAAGCCAGAAGTCCGTGTCCTTGCACACTCCCCTAGCCCCAACCCTGTGCACATCCAGTCACTATTTCCCAAGTGGCTTCCTCAGGCTCAGCAATGTCACTGCCCCATCCCAAGGTCATCCAGGGTCATCCTGGGCTCCACTGCTCTGGCCTAGGCCTTGTTTTCCCCAGCAGCCTGCAGGAAAAATTAATTTGTTAGGGGGCTCTGATCTTTCTGTTTCAAGGCCCTTGTCCCTAAATGTCCTTTCCCTCTCAGAACAAGGCCCTGTAGAAACTGTCATCCCTAGGATGGGTTCTGCCCCTGGGCATCAGAACATTCACTCTCACATTGATTCCTTCTTCCTTTCCACACACCCTCTGATCACACGTGCTGGGGTCAGGCACTGGGTTGGCTGCTAAGGGACATAAATTGGCCTGTGTCTAGGCAGTATGCAGGGTCCACTGGCTATAAACCAACAGGCAGGTACCCATCAACAATGCCATCAGATAAGTGCCACACCAGAGGCCAGCCCAGGGCTCCTGGGTCCCAGAGGATGTGATGGCATGTTGAGGAAGGCATGGATTTCATCCTGAGGGCTTTGAGGTGACACTGAAGAGTTTTGATGTGGCAGTGTCCCAATCACACAATCAGAGACTCTATATCCTTGTGCACGCTGCCCTATGCTCTGTCACCAGTCTGACAAGTTCTTGGTTTCCAAGGAGAACCAACATCATGAGCCTATGGGGACATTACAAAAAGTTGAACAACTGAACTCATTCGTGTTCTAAAGTGGCTCTTACTTAGGCCAGTGAAGTATGGTCTCTACCCAGCCATAGGAATAAACCTCTTGGGGTATTCATTCTTTCAATATGTGATTTTTTTTCCTTTGCCCCTTTCTTTGATGCCTTGGGAAATCTGATAAAAGCTGTGAAACTTCTCCCCACAAAATCCACACATTCCCCAATAATGCCCTCAATTTCAGGGCATTCCTCAGAGTCTCTGAAGGCCCTCATTGGAATAGCAGGAAAAGCTCCTGCAATAACTAGAAGTCTAAGCCCCTCCACAATGAAGGCACTGGGGTCTGACCTGGGTCTGGGAGGATGGACAGGTATCCATCCCAGCCGAGGCCTGGTAGACAGCCCTTCAAGTCAGGTCACCCAGAGCTCCAAATTGTTCTGGGCTGCATCTTGATCTCTTCCCTAGCCCCACTCATGAAGGTGGGACCCCCCCCTCCCCGGGTTCCAGGGGTCCTGTTGCATTCTGGCATAGAGTTCATTGCCCCGACCTCTGTGTGCCATGGCACCCATGCCTGCACAAAGACAGGAGTTTTCAGGTGAGAACGTGGTCAGGGTTGCAGAGCTTCATGTGTGAACTCAATCTCCCTTTCGACTTTCTAGTCACAGCAGGGTTGTTGGAAAATAGACTAAGAGATGTTAGAAGTTTCAGGGGTTTTGCAGGTCTTTGCCTTGAAGGAATCTGTGGACATGTTACTCCACAAAATAGAAGCTGCTTCCAACAAGGGGGACATTGTGAAAGGATGTTTGCATTTCTTCTTTTGGTGCAGGTCATCGCTTTGAGGATTTTTGCAAAGCAGAAGCTCGATTTGGCCCCTTGGCAGAGAAGCTGATATAAATGCCTGCCCAGCAGATAACGTGCAGCTGGAGCTATCCTAGAGTTCAAGGCTATTCCTGCTTCACTCTTGACTACATGTCTCTGTGTTTAGAAGAAGTAGATTAGAGTAGTACACAGATTCAGTGTTCTCATTTTATACATTTTATCTTTAATTTGTAGGCTCAGCTAGGTCTGTTTCTAACTTAGAGCTTCACATGCTTATGTTTGAAAAATTGTGTAACCGTCTATTCTTGTAGACAGAATTAGGTAAGGTTCTCCTGGAAACCTCAAAAAGTGAACTGTATACGTAATTCTGTAACAAAAGACAACTATTTGCTGTGCCAATAACTACTGATGCGGGACTTCATTCAGGGTCTCAGTCTGCGGGAAGCCGAGAACTCCTGACGTCCCCATCTTTTAAACTGCTCTTCGTCTCTGTCTCAATCATTTCTCTGTCTATAATATATCATTTCTTTATTTCTTATTTCCACATCCCTTGCGATGATCCTGCCTTGGTACCTGTTTGCACTGGGAGGTTGGCAACTATGGGCACAGGGTGACCATTCCTGACTCAGTCACCTCCCCTCCATGTGCACAGGGCCCACACGTAACACTTGACACACTACTCTTTCCTGCTGGCGTGCTTGTAGCCCTCCCAACTGGACTTTGAACTCAGGCAACGAAAGAGCAGTGTCCTGCTCATGCTGCATGACTACTGCCATTAATAAGGACAGAGGGCTCTGCGGTCAGTGGCTCTCAATGTGTCCTGGCTACCTTCTATCCCTTCCTCCCAACAGGAATCTGCAACCCCAACAAAGAATGAGGGGGAAACTGAGGTCCACAGAAGGACCATGAATGGCCCCACACCATACTGCCCATCCCTTGTGAGTCTGGGACCAGTGAAAGCCTCCTGCCTGCTGATTCTGTGCTTGGTCAACCTGTCACCTCCCTCTGCCCCTCCATGACAATGCAGGCTGGGAGAATGGGTGGCCTTGAAACCTCCAGCTCAGAACTCCCCAACCAGAGCTGCAAGAAGCAAAGCCAGGGGAGGAACATCTGCAGGTGACTTTATGCGTCACGTTCATCTGATTTGAGTACAGGTTTTCGAGGTTCCACTTGGGGTACATTTTCTCTTGGCCGGTCCTCTTTAGCATCAGGTCCAGCTGGGGGAGGAGAAGAAGGTGTCTGTTTTCACTTTTTTAAACCCTTCGACTAGGCTCCAAAAATGGGCCCAGCAGTGCCCAGGAGGAATTTGGATGACAGGGAGAGTGCAGCTGACCCTAGGGAGGAAAAGGAGGTGAGCACAGGGGAGTGGGCACTGGGCAGTGGCCGGGGCTGCTCAGGAGGCCTGAGGCCCAGAGATCCCACCCTGATCCCCCTCCACGACCCGAAACCCCCACAGCTCTGCCTGGGGCAGAGGATGCAGGAGGCGGCGGAAAGGGAGAACACAGGTGACTCCTAGGAACTGAGAGATGTAGAGTCCTCCACAGACAGACCCTGAGAGCTGCAAGTCCCTCACTTTGCACAGGCGGCCAAGGAGGCCCAGAGAGGGGAGGGACTGGCCAGGTCTCCCTGGTGTCAGATTTGGGTAGAGCTGAACCCAGAACCCAGGCATCATGCGCCCTGGGCTTCCTTCTCTCCACTCCCTACCCAGCACCTCCTCACCCCTCCACTCTCACTTTCAACCTCACTCAGAAGGAGCCTGAGGGCATGGTGAGGGAGAGACAAAGGACCCTGCTGCTGAGGATCACAGACTGCAGGGTGAGGATCTCCCCTTGGGCTCAGCCCCTGGGCTGCATCTTGTCCTGGCTCTGGTCCTCCTGCCCCAGGCACTTACCCACTGACTGCAGAGTAGCCACCAGGCCGCCCAAGCACTCTCCACCCCCATTGGCCATGGCCCCTGGAGAGATCATCTTGGCTGCTGTGGATGAGGCTGCAATTTCTGACCCGGTGAAGCCCAGGGAACCAAGTACCAGGGTCACAGCCGCCAGGGGCAGGGCTGTTGGGAGAGAGAAGCTGGATGGGGGTGGGGGGCTCAGGGGAAGGGATCCCCTGAGGACTTCCTCCACAGTTTCTGGGAACCGTTGGCTTGAGCGTTTGGAAGATAGCAGCTTGGAGTGGGGTCCCAAGGTGAAGAAGAGGTGGTAGGTGTTGAGCCAGGGCTATGTGACGCTGGGAAAGTCACTGTCCTTCATTGGGTCTCAGGTTTGTGCATGTGTGAATGTGGGGGTGAAATAAGGCATTGTAGTGTTTAGGTTAACACATCAACTGCCATGTGAGCTGCATTTAATTCACACTAGTTTTGAGCCCGGGGCCTCGTGAAATGTATGTAACTCACAGGTCTCTTCACCTTGCCGGCCACGTGAACTATTTTTCAAGTTGCATATAACTGACACCCAGAAAACAATTTAAAAAAATAACGTTTTCATTAAATTAGAAAGGATCATTTTGTTTTTGAAGTTTTTAATTCTGTTTTCATAGTAAAATACCGTGGCCCCAAGGAAAAATAAATTTTTTTTTCTAGTGTGGCAGTCAATATGTTTAACCCCCTTGGAAACAAAATCTTCCTTATGCGCTGGTTATACATAAGGACGACAGTAGAAGCTGGGACCGGAATGGGGGGAGAGCTTTTCCGTGGAGCAAGGCGAGCGTTGCTCTCTGCCCCTGCGGTTCACCCAGGCAGCTCCGGGAGCGGAGGGTGAGGGGGGTGAGCCAGGTTTTTTAACCCCCAGCAGCCGTGTCTCCACGGTCTCCCAGCCACCCCGGACAGGGGCCAGGTAAACTCCTGGCGACGGAGACGATCCAGGTCACTCACCTCCTCCGACCGCAGCAGCCACCACCAGCTCTAGAGAGCGAGAGCAGGGGGAGCGGTGGAGGGGAGCGAGCGGGAGCGCGTCCGTCCGCAGGTTGAAGGGGACCGGGAAGGTAAGCGCACCCTGGCGCTTCGCGGGCTGGGGTCGGGGAGGCCTGCCCACTCCCTGCCCAGCCCCGGCCCGGGACTCACCGCTCATGTTGAGGCCGGTCCGGGTCCCACTCGGCTCAGGAAGGGAAACCTGGCGTGCAGCACTTCCCCTGCCAGCTGTGGGGCCCGAGCAGGCGCGGGCGTCGCCCCACTCCCCGCCCCCACGCCCAGGTCCCCGTCGCTGTCTTCCGCCCACCCCGCACCGGGTCTCCCCGGGGCGCGTTCGCCCTTGCAGGATGGATCTGCCACGGAGGAACGCGCGCTCGAAAGCGCCTGAAAGCCGCAGCAACGGGGCCCCGCGGTTCCGAGCTGCGAAATTGTGTGCTGCACACATCAAACAGGACGCCAGGAGCAAAACGGCATTTCGTTTCACTTCCAGAGAGAGACACCGACGCGCTCTGGAGCTTTCCCTTCCGGTCCGGTCCTGGCTCCCCCGGAGGTGCACACCCGCCCGCGCCCGCCGCCTTCCGGTCACGCTGCGCGGGGCTCTGCAAACTGCTCGCCTCATTTAACCTGCCATTTGCATTTCCCCGGGGCTGTTTAATATTCTTTAGCAAGATTTTTTTTTTAAGTCAAATTTATTGAGGTGTAATTTACATAAAGTGAAATTCACCCTTTTCGTGCACACTTCCATGAGTTTGGGCGAACTTTCACAGTCGTGGAACCACCCGCTCAGGTGCATAACATTTTAGCACCCCCTCCTCCTCGTCCCCCCAGTTCTCTCAAGCTCTTTTGGAGTCAGAGTCACCCCCTCCCCGCCCGTGGCGACCACTGATTTGTTTTCCCTCCCCACACGTTTTGACTTTCCCAGAACTTTAACGTCATATTTAACTGTCATCAAATATTCTATAGAGTTCAACGTGTCAGCGCCCCCCCCCCCCGTTTTAAGGGTTTAAATTCGAACTTTTACACCTGGAGGTTATCTGGGCATTGCAGTGCTGCTAACATCATAGGGCGCAGGTATTTTCTGTGTATTCTAGAAGTGGAATTGCTGGGTTAGAAACTATGCATTTCTTATGGCACCTGAAACTTACTGTTAGGCTAACCTCCAAAAATAGTATCAGCCTACACCCCCACGCAAGTACGTGGGAGGATCCATTTTTTTTGTTCTCGCCAGCAATTAGCGTTGTCACTTAAAAGAACCTTTGTTGATGTAACAGGTGAAAAATGATAACTTATTTTAATTTACACTTCCTTTTACCACTAGTAAGGCTAAAACGATTTCTAAGTTTATTAGGCTATGTAGTTCTTATTTTGTGAATTATTTTCTTTTATTTTTGGACCTTTTTTCTATTGAATTTGTTTTCCTTATTGATTCATAGGAACTAATGTTATATTAACTATCTTAATCCGTTCTCATAGATGTTGCAAATTTTTGTTTCCAGTTCATCACTGTCTTTTTTGTGGGGTTTTTTTTTCATAAAAAGGTTTTTAATATTTATGTAAACTTGTCAATATTTTACTTTATTGTTTTTGTCTTTGTGTGCCTAAAAAGGGCATTTCTGCTAGCTATCAGATACATCATCATTGGTATTTTCTTTAGATTCTTCTGGGGTTTCACTTTTTTAAATTAACTTTTAATCCATCTGGAATTTAGTTTGGAACATATAGAGTGCTTTAGATATCCTACATATGTCTTAGCTAATTGTTCCAACACTGTGGATTAAATCATCTTTCATTTCATCTTTGATATTCCATTTTTGTATTCAAAACTGATATAGTAGGCCATATATCAGTTTACCAGTTAGGACATTTTTCTATTCTGTTGCAAAGAGCTTTATGTCTTACAACAATATCAGGCTGTTTTAATGTCTATAAATTTATTATTTGACTTAAAATCTGTGCATAGCAGTGTCAGAATTGTTAATCCAGGGTTATACATTTTGTGAAGATTAAAAATACTCTGTAATGCCCTCTATCATCCAGAAGTGCAATTCATAGATAACATCACCTAGTGACACACAAGATATTGCCCAAACTGGAATACAAAAGAGAAATGAAAGGAAATTATTTATAATAAAATAGTCTATATTTCAATTTCAATATGTAAATGCTCAAGCACTATTATACCTGAAGATATAATGAAAGAATGAGTCCCTTGTATCTGTATTAGTTTAGAATTAAGATGACATAATATTCAATAAAAAAATTCTTAATGCTTTCTTTTTATATTTTATGTTTTGAAACAAGGGCTTAAGAAATATATCTATATATTCATACCCATATATCTATGTCTAATCACCAAGAATGTGATAGTGGGAAAAACAGAGTGATTGAAGTACCTTGCTACTGGTGACATGATCTTCTGTAATGGGGAATAATTCTTGGGAAAGTTCAGAATAAATCAAAGTACAATCTCTCCCCAACTTGCAAGATAACGACATTCCTGGAAAATTTAATCTATATTATGATTATGCCAAAAATACTGAACACACATAAAACATGGTTAAGTTCTTGGCTCTGATAATTATGAGGGTTTTTTTTTTTTTTTGCTTATGTGACAGGATCTTTGGAATTTGTACAAGATAATTTTCAGTTGTGCAGGATGGTCTTACATATTTCAAGATGTCAAGCACAACATCAAATTTCCAAAATGCCCTCTAGGGGGCAGTACCATCCTGTTAAAAATGAATGCCTTG